TTTTTTTTTTTTTTTTTTTTTTTTTTTTTTTTTTTTTTTTTTTTGGCTGGGACCCTCCCTGGTCTGTGCACTGAGCATCCGTTACCCGAAAAACCCGACTGAGAGCCTACCCAATTTTATATTCTTATTACATTATATTTCGAATGTTAAAATTCCCTCGTAAATGGTTAAGCGACCACCTATGAATCTTGAGCGACTTGAGTGTCTTTTTATTTTCCTTCTTACTCTTGGTTACTTTTTTGGTAAGACTTATTGAGAGGAGGAAAGCTAGCAGTGTCTTATCCTAAGTAGGTTGTAAGTTACTACTTCTTACTAAGAGAGACCTTAAACAACCCATATGATTGCAAAACCTCTTTCAAAAGTCAAGAGTTATGGAGGTAGGTAACTTGCAAATAAGCAAAGCTCCTCCCCAGTGTACTCACATATCCCTAATTGTACAAACTTCGATTTGCTTTGTTTGTATTTGTTGTTATAATAATTTTTTTTTTTTTTTTTTAATGGCGTTCAAGATTTTAACTGTTAGTTCTTCCAATACGTTTTTCTTCGGGTTTCAAAATGCCTTGTATGCAAAACAAAAAAAAAAACAAACAATAAGGATCTTCTTTTGACTCGCAACGCCAACCATTTTGCTTCGATGGTCAAACTCATAAAGTTACGGTTGTATGCAAAATGTACATTTTATTCTTTGGTTTAAAAATATTTTATCGCTTTAATGAAAAAATTATGTATATCAAATAACACATCTATGACTAAAGAAAAATTGTAAATTATGTTCTAATTGTGATTGTTTTTTTTTTATTATTAGAGTTCCCCTACGTTGATAGTATCATAAACTCTATTTTAACTGTTTTTTGAAGGGATGCATACCGCCTCTGCATAAATGGTCTATGACTTGTTTATTCGTTTTTGCTTGTTTTTTCAAAAAAGGTCGGACTCGTGTCGTACAAAAATAGTCCAACCATTTTGTTTATTTCATTTTTTGATAAGTTGGTTTTGTCCTTAATGTCGATGGTTTGGTAAGAAGTTTATCTATTTGTTTTCTGAAAGAGAGTTATTTTCATGAAAAGTTTGCCTTGTCTTCTGGGTGAATGACTCGACTGTTTACTTTTTTGGCTTAGTCTCTGAAAAGACCAACTCATCCCATATGTAGATAGTTTGTTATTAATTTATTGTCTGTTTGGTGAAGCGTCAGACTCAACGCATGTGTAGATAATCTGACTGCATGTTTCATTTTCCTTCTTTCCGAGAGGTCGGACTCATGCTCTGCGTAGATGGTTCGACGGGTCGCTCATTCATTTTCTTATAAATCGGTCTTATCTCCTGCGCAAATGATCCGACTACTTGTTTATGCATTTTCTGCAAAGGATGGGTTCGTCCCCTGCCTGGATTATCAATTTATAGGTTTGTTAAACTCGGTTCATAAATGACGGGGCGCATCACATGCATAGATGGTCCGATTGTATGATATTTAGTTGTTTTCGTATGTCCCCTACGTGGATGGTCCAACTGCATGTTTATTATGAATATAAGATAAAAATTAACTAACTTATATTACACACACACACACACGAAGAAGAGAAGAAGAAAAAGAACAAGAAAAAAAAAAAAAAAAAAAAAAAAGTTGCATAAATGATTGCCAAGTGTTTAAGCTCTAGGTAAAATGTTACTAGATGGGATAGATAGGTTCTGGAAGCTTGAAATAAAACCAATACATCTGAGTTATCCATGAGTTAGTATGAATTTCAGTATGTTACTTTTATAAGGAAAACATTTATAAAGTTTATGTTAGATCAGAGAGTTAGTCAGATTTATAAGAAAAACATTTATAAAGTTTATGCTAGATCAGAGCTGTCTCTTATACACATCTAGATGTGTATAAGAGACAGGGGATAGATAGGTTCTGGAAGCTTGAAATAAAACCAATACATCTGAGTTATCCATGAGTTAGTATGAATTTCAGTATGTTACTTTTATAAGGAAAACATTTATAAAGTTTATGTTAGATCAGAGAGTTAGTCAGATTTATAAGAAAAACATTTATAAAGTTTATGCTAGATCAGAGAGTTAGTTAGATTTAGTTGCATAAATGATTGTCAAATCTTTAAGCTCTAGGTATAATGTTACTAGATGGGATAGGTAGGTTCTGGATACTTGAAATAAAACCAATACATCTAAGTTATCCATGAGCTAGTATGAATTTTAGTATGTTACTTTTATAAGGAAAACATTTATAAAGTTTATGCTAGATCAGGGATTTAGTCAAATTTTAAATCATATCAATAAAAATGAAAGGTTGTTACT